TCCATCCCATGAAGGAGTGATAAGTGCAGTTCCGACCGATGCTCCTTGGGCAAGAGATCCTTCTCCTTGGACAGGGGCGGTCGATCCGGGCCGGGATCTGCTTGTGCCGGGCGGCCACATATGTTTGAAACCCTACTGCTTGGTGTACTTACTGTAATTGTTGGCAGATCTAACACGTGTGGCTTTTTGGGGTTTTGGACGTAGCGGTCAGGTCTCGGTTATAGTTTGATTCGGAGTTAAGTTTAAGTTTAGGGGTTTAGAGTTCATTGTTCAAGGCTTACGGTTAAAGGGTTTAGGGTAGTGTAGTGGTGTTCACCGTGCGTGCCGAAGTCCCTTGATCCTGGAAGCCTCCAGCCCCAACTCCGACTTTGAGCCCATAAACCTTACTTGGAGGCCCTTTTGACTTAGTAAGTCTACTTAGTATCCCCCAGAAACCCTATTATAATCCCCATAACCCACCTTACTAACCCTACTTACAAAGTCAAAAGGGCCTCCAAGTAACCACTATTCCCTCACCCTCCTCCCCCTGAACGCTAACACCCTAAACCTGAAACCCCTAACTCGAAATCTAAACCCCAAAAAGCCCTACCTGGACCCTAAGGAACCTACATTTTTAGGGTTCCTTAATATGATTTCTTTATATAAGTCCTTAAAAAGGTAGGTTACTTGGGGTTAAGGTAGACCTTAAACCCTGAGACCTGAATTTTAAACCCAAGTTCACCCCAAACAGAACCCTAAGCGTCAAAACCTGAAAGCCTGAAACTTGAGCCTTGGAACGACTTAAACCCCAAGTCTTAAACCCAAAGGCCCTGAACCTTAAACCCTGGGTTCCTGAGTAGTACCCTTTTGCGCGTTTTGGTTTAGGGTCCCGTTATTAAAACCAAACAGTAGGAAAAAGGGTGCCCTTATTCTAAGGGGCTACTCAGGAGCCTAGAACCCGCAAGCTTTCAAACTCCAAGCCGTGAGCCCTTGGTGCTTTAGGTTTAGGCTAGAGCTGGTCGAGTTTATTGTTTATAGGGTTAAGTTTAGGGATTAGAGAACCAGGGTTTAGGATTTAAGGTTTAGGGTTTGGGGATTTAGGGATCGCGATTTAGGGAGTTTAGGGCTAGTGGGTTTAGGGTTGAAGGTTGGGATTTAGGGATGAGGCCGGAGGAGGGTTCTTCAAAAAAACCCTCGTAGTAGAGTAGGTAACCTTTAATCGGTTAGTATAGTCCCTATATCACCCAACAAGTAGGTTTATAGATCCTCCAAGTAGACCCTAAACCCTAAACCCTATAGATCCCTTTAAGGAGCCCTCTAGATCCCTTTAAGGAGCCTTTTAAGGAACCCTAGGGTTCTGATACTTGACAAGTAGGAAACCCTTCTACAGCAACTAACTCCCATATCAACTACTATAGTAGCCCTTATAGTACTTTTTATAGTAACCCTATATAGTAGCCCTTATAGTATTCTTATCGTAACCCTTTAAAGGCACCCTAAAGGTACCCCTAATTTCCCTGCCCCTTGAACCCTTATGGGAACCCTAAGCCTGGAGGCCTCGGCCTCTCTTCTCCATGCCGCTTCCAGTGCGGAAAGGCTGCAGAGCACGCGGAAGGAGCCGACCGGGTTTGGGGTTTTCCTTCATGATTAGGTACCCTAAACCCTAAGCCCTCTCCCCTTAAAAAGGTACCCTACTTGGAGGATCCTGAGACTTAGTAAGTAAGGTTATAGGTTCCTCAATTGGGGTTAGAAGTATTTATAAGTTGGACCTAAGGAACCTACCTTTTTAGGGTTCTTTAATCTGATTTCTTTATATAAGTCCTTAAAGGGGGTTTCAAGGGTCCCAGAGAGCCCAATACCCCGTAATTAAGGAATATACCTTAAAATATAGGGGCCTGAATATTATGATTTAAGGTATATTCCCTAATTAAGAGGTATTGGGATCTCTGGGTTTGGGGTTTTCCCTAATGATTAGGTACTTGGGTTTGGGATAGTACCTATAGTCTCCATTGTAGTTCATTTTGGTTGACCACAATCTCTATTATAGGATCCTAACCATAAAATTGGATAACCCAAAAAAGGAACTACAATGGAGACTATAGGTAGCTGTATAGCTCAATATTTAGGAGAGTATACAAAAAAACCGGTACTTGGATCCTTAGGTTTCTTTCAGGAATGTACATAGGGCTCTATAGGGTCCTAAAAAGGGATCTTTATAGGGTTTTTGAGGAAGCACCACGGGGCTTGCCGCTGTAAGGATCGCACATTCATAAAGGGTTCAGATCTTGTGTATCTTCGGGACCCCAACAGCACATAAGCATAAACATTTTATGGTGATATCCCTACCTTATTGGGCTTCATTTCAAGGGGGTTTATATGGGATATCCCTATCCTAATTTTTGCTTATGTGCTCTTTTGGTTCCCTAATGCAGTAGGCCGCGGAAAGAAACAAGGTAGAAGCCTGAAGAGCTGTCAATATCATCCCTATCCCTGAAGGTGCCGAAATAGGGTGTAGCTCTAAGAAGCGCAAAAATACTTGTTGTACTCCTACTGCAAGTCGTGCAAAGGGTTGTGTTTTAATTAGAACTTACACCTTTTCATCGCAAAGCCCTGGCTTTGAGCTTGGGGTTTAAGCTTCGTCTTTCGACAAAACAGATTCTTAACCCCAACCCCCCGAAACCCTAAACCACCTAGGATGCCCAGTAGTACCCTTATTCCCTTTTTGCAGTCCTAGGTTCCTTATAAAGTTACCCAATACCAAAAAGAGAGGCCTTTTATTCTTAGGTTACTGGGTATCCTAGAAACCCAACCAAGAATCAATCCTAAACCCCAAATCCCTGCGGCCAAAAAGGCTTGAAGCTCGAAGCCCCAATGGCAGACCAAAAACCTGCAACCCCTCAGAGTTCCCCATATCCATTAATCAGGGGATATACCTTAAACTATAGGGGCCTTAATATTATGCTTGAAGGTATAATCCTTAATTAAGGGGTATTGGGATCTCTGCGCCTCAACCCTCCGCCCTAAACCCTAACCCAAAGGCTCCATGTACCTGAATAGCAGATACTTAAGCCTTAAAGGGGTCCTTATATAGATACTTTAAGGCCTAAGTATCTACTATAAGGGTACATGGAGCCTTAGGGTAAGCCGAAGACTTCGCGCCTCAGGGCAGCTTGGGTGGTGCCCCGGGGGCAGCCACTGTGGCGGCCCTGGTGGCTTGCGTTGGGCAGAGGCCGTCATGACCTTAAACCATAAGCCTGGGGGGCAGTCACGGTTCAGGGTTTAGGGTTTTGAGGTTTTGAGGTTTTAGGGTTTTGAGTTTAGGGTGTAGGGACTAGGGCTTTAGGTCTTTGAGTTTAGAGGGCAGAGTTTTAAAGATTGTTACGGTTAAGGCTTCAGGGTTAATGTACTTGGAGGGTCGGGGGACTTAGTAAGGAGGTAGTAAGTAGACTTATAAGTGCCCTAAAAGGGACCCTAAATGGGGTTATGGTACTTATAAGTCCCTAAAATAACCAGTTACTAAGTCCCCCGACCCTCCAAGTAGGATCTTGAGCTTAGGGAGTCGGGGTTTTAGAGACTACCCTGTTTTAGGGGCCTAAATGTATAATATAACGGGCCCCAAGACCCGATTCTAATATTATTGAGGCTCTTACGTTATATAGAACCCTACTATAGATCCCTTCTGGAACCCTTCGAACTTTCAGGGACCTTTCAAAGGAACCCTATTCTAATTATGAAGGTCCTTATACGAGGCAGTGACGTTTAGGGCTTCATCTAGGAAACGAAGGTATCTAGGAGCATTTTTAAGAACCAAACTGTTTATGAGCTTAATCTGGAAGATTGAAGACACATGACTGTAGTATAGTATACCTCAGGACCCTAGCCCAATTATCAAGGACTCTACTGTAACTGTGCATGTAACCATGCACGCGACACCCAAAACTCGAAACCCGAAACCCACAAGCCTAAACCCAGACCCTAATTCTAATCCCAAAACCCTAAAGCCCCAAACCCTAAAACCTAAAACCCGAAACCCCGAAACCCTAAAACCTTAACCCCCAAAGATCACTTAAAAGAACCCTTATAGTACCCTTTAAGGACCCCCTAAGAACCCCAAAGACCAAACCCTGAAACCGGAAACCCCTCAAAAGAACCCTATATAGTACCCTTTAAAGGACTGCCTAAGAACCCCAAAAACCAAACCCTGATACGGGGTAAAATCCGCCCTGAACCACACCAGAAAAGCCCTGACCCTGAAGCCCCGAAGCCGAAAACACCCTCAAACCCGGCCGGAAAACAATCCCAATCCCTACAACCACACAATCCCTGAAATAAGGACTAGGGTGACCCCAAAGAGGTGGGGAAACCACTCAAGCACAAACAAAAACTTTTAAACCCTTGAGCCACGTGTCACGTTGGTACACTTCTCGATGTACCTTAGTGTGTCATCCTTGCGCAGGGCGAGACAATGCCATGCGACCTGATTTGTGCGTGTCTTCTTACGCAGGGGCTTTGCTTGCAAGGCCCTTTGCCTCGCACTCCCCCTGCTGTCGAGACAGCACAGGCATAAGAGCAAAAACTCAGAGGCGCTTTGCATCTGAGCACCCTTGTTCAGGAGAAATCGGGGTAACTGAAGACCACCTAAACCCAAACCATATCCATGCTCCGATGCCCCTTTGGGGCCCAAGTGATCACTGAGTGATCCGTCCCTTGCGTCTGCTCTTCGCGAGGGGTATGCATCATTAGCACAATGCAGCAGGTCAAGCTCATGAATATGTAATGCAGAGTCGCATACTGTACCTCAGAAGCCTGTCCAAATTGATTGAAACATCATGATTGGAAAAGTGTTGTGTGCGAACCGAATAACCCATCATCCACTAACAGGTATAATCAGCCTTTAAACCACGACATCAGACTATAAACACGTTGCCCAATGCGCTGAGACGGAAAACCAGGTGTAGGACCAGATAGCCCAGTTTGGAAAACCATACTGCTTGAAATCATCTTGCGCTTGATTCCCGCAATCACCACCAACTGCGGATCATGCCACTTCGAAACACCGCCGAAACGACCTTGTGGACTGCGACCATGACGAAAACCAATACCAGAAGAAATCCGATATCCGCTCGATCAAACCATCGCGTTGTTGAAGACGTAGTCATCGAAGAAGTCGAAGAAGTTGCTTGCACCAGTTCGTAGCCTTGCAACATAGTAGCCACGAGGATGGCCACGGCGGCGGCCGCTGCACGTGCTGCATCAGAAACCAAATGTGTGGTAGGAGCAGTCGTCATCTGCCACATCTGCTTGAGGTTGACAAAGATTGCTCCGTTCATCAACTTGGTCAGCATATCAGCTAGCATGTGCTCACCTTTCAAGTGTGCCACCACCAGGTACCCACTGTTTAGCAAAGACCGCAAACCGGCTGCTCGGATTCGCAAGTGACGTGTTCGCCATGCACCAGCGACAACTGAAATGATCGAGCATGCGGAAACGGAATCAATGTATAGCGCTTTGGAAAGGCCATCTTCATTGATCCCCAAAAGCATAGAAACGATAGGCGCGACAGATTGTAGCATAGTTGTTCCTTCCAGGGCAGCGTTGAGCTCAGCTTCCGCTGTGCTCAGTGCTATCGTGGTTTGGCGCTGCGTCATCCACATGACTGGGCTGTCGGCCCATACGACCACAGCTCCACTGTGTGATCTCGCCGTTTCTTCACCTTCACATCCCGCAGCAAACGATGCGTCTGTATAAGCTTCCAAGACTGTGACACTCCTTTTGAAACGAAGCTGTGAATCACCACCCAAAGACATAGGATCCACCTTCGAATATTTTAAGCCCAGTGTGACCGTCCTACTCAAGTAATGAAACACTTCATCTGCCTTTCTTGCAACAAAACGCGGATAGCGAGTACACCACACAGAAAGCTGGCTTGTGCAAAAAGCCAGATCTGCTCTGGACTTCAATGCCAGCCATAACAGCTCTCCTACGGCTGCCTGTGCTTTTCGTAGCGCCTCAACAGACACTTCCTCCGGCTCGTCAGGCGGCGCCTCCTTGCTCATTGGCCCAGCACCACCAATGCCGCCTGCATCTGCTTTAAACCCCCGTCGTTGCAACAGGTCCCTGACAAAGTCCTCCTGGTTCAAGTAGTACGCGCCATCATTCCAAAAGATTTGGATACCCAGAAACTTCAACGGTTTGTCGTCATGACCTCTTCCGCAGAACTCTGGTTCAGAAGTTTTCCATTCAGCGCGAATCTGTTGGATGGCATCTGTGATTATGGACATACTCCCGGCTAACAAAAAGTCGTCAACGTATAGTCCCAAAGTGCCTTTGACACTCTCTTTGCCGTCGGAGTCCGTCGCGATGAGCAGGTACAAGCTGGGATCAACCTCTGACTTTTTGAACCTCATGTCCAAACCATCCGTCTGCCAACGCATCTGTAAAAGCCTCGTGTCTCTCCACTCCACCCACGCAGCTGGGCTTTCCGCCAAGCCGTACAAAGCTTTTCGCACCACCCACCGCTCGGATGGCGAAGCAAGTCCAAGCTTCACCGCTGCTTTAGGCGGTTGCACAATGATTAGCCGACCCTGCCGCTGAACTTGGCTCATTGGTGCTGTCAGAAAAGCCTTGGATATATCTAGACCAGCTAGAAACCACTCTTCCTCCGCGGCTTGCCTCACTTGACACCTGAAGGTTGTAGAATCCAATCCTGGAGCGTATAGCCCTTGTCTGCGCAGCATCTTGGGACCTTGTTGTTGAACACTTGGGCTTCCTGATAAGAAGTTTCCACATGCACAAATTCTAGCTCGCCGTCGACCTGAACCTTGTTTACGTGTAAACACCACCAAGCTTGGAACATATTCAAGAACGGGTGCATCAGGAAGCTTCGCCATCTCCGCAAGGTGTTGCTCCGTAGTCCGTTCTACGACCTGCAGCTCCGTGATGAGATTGTTAACCTCATCTGACAATGCTTCTCTCCAATCCTCCAGCTCCTGCATGGCTGTTGCGGTAGGAATTGTGCGAGTTTGAAGAAACTCCTCATTGTCCCCAGCCTCCTGTGCAATCGTCTCTTGTTGCATCTTTAACAACGAACCTGCATGCTGCAAAGACTGCTCCAACTGTCGTTCGATTTCGCGAGAGTGTTGCAGCCACTCTGATGTAGCACTACCTTCAAACACCTCTGGCAACGACACTTCGGCAATCAAGTACTGCTCTTGATCCGCAATCAACCTTCTTAAGCTAGCATGTTGACTTCGAAGATGACCAATGTCTACATCCGATACAGAATTCTCGTCCCCCCCGACATCACCGAACGCGTTTTCAACGAACACTTTATCTTGGACCAAATGTTCTGTTTGACGACAATCCGACGAAGAAGATGCGCACATTGGAAAGCCGATGTCCAAGAGAAAACTCCGATCCACATCACAAAGTTGATCACTTCCTCGAGGCGTGAATGCTGTGATAGTCCATCTGGTGCCGCTCCACGGTTGAGGGCCATGAGCCTGTTGGGGTGAAAATGAAAAGAACTGATTCTTAATGTCCACCGTCTTGCCCACGAGGCTACGATCACCGTACTTCCGCTCCACTGCAGATTGATCCTCCCTAGAGATACCATCATCTTGCACCCACAATTCTCCACCCGTAAACTCGCCAAGAGCACAGATGACATTGTTGCACGAGTAATCGTTGTGACGATCTCTATGGACTCCCACGGCAGTGTTACACGAAAGATAAACCGATGAGAATACCACATCTGGATTGTGTTCGCGAACAAAGCTCACCAAGTACTTGACGAACATGGGCCTATGTTTTGCAGCATTGGTCACGCCGCACATATGTCCACGAACATACTGTCCCAGAGTCACAGCTTGAATGCGATCCTCATTGCAGTGAATGTCGCCTCTCCGATTCGCACGAAAATCCAACCCCACAGACTCCAAAAGTTCCAAACACTCTTGTGGTGAAAACTTCTTCTGCTCCAACCACTCACGCGCTAACTCCTCACTTTTTGCGATGTCATCAGTGTAACAGGGTTTTGCAATGCACGCACGCGGACTGTCACCCGACGGGATTTCCACCTCCAAGTCTTCCTGCAAAACCTCGCAAGCAACTGGACCCTCCCCCCGGTTCGTGCAGCATAGTGAACGAAGCGACCCATCTGGTATGAAACGCCTCAACGCTGGAAGGACCTCAGCATCCGTCTCCCTCGGAACCCGCATGGTACGAGCCACCCCTTTGAAACGCATCCGATGCTTAGGAGGCGCTGGAAGTTCCTCAGTAAACTCGGCATCACACTCCGGAACCGACGACTTATGTTCCACCTTGTCATAGACCACCGTAGTTGGAAACATAACCAGCTTGTCAGGATCATCTTTAGCGCCCCTAGCTTCAACGATGTAGCCTCCAGAAACCTCTGTGCATGGACCTAACAGTAAAGCCGGCTGTGTCCGATCCAACCACTGACGCCCTTTCTTAGAACCACTCGGATCACGAAGTTCCCAAGCCCTTCGACGCACATGAACCCGAGCACCAAATGGAAGAATATCACGAGGCTTCAATCCCAGCTGTTGTTCAGCCCATCTCCATCGAAGAGCTGACCAATGAACAGCGGCACGTGCCCAATACGATGAATCCAGATTGGCCTGCTTTAGCAGTGCGCGGACGCCTTTTTTGAACACCCCAACCGTAGCTTCACTGCGACCGTTACTCTGTGGTGATCCGGGGTCCCCGGTAGTACGAAAAATCTGTCGAGCCTCACAGAATGTACGGAAAGACTGATTCACGAATTCACCGCCGCGGTCTGTATGAAGCCGCAGGACTGGATAACCTTGATGTTGAAGCTTGACCAAGATACGCTGTGTAGCGGCTAAAACTTCCGATCTGTGTTTGCTTTTGAGAGGTTCGGCAATCATGAAGTTAATCATGCGCACTGGTTTAGTGGCATGATCCTTCAAAGCACGCCAAGCCTCTTCTGACTCGATAACCTTTTTGACCTCAACCTCCGAAGCCTCCAAACGCTCGTCAGGAGTCACAATATCCCCGTCTTCAGGCTCTAAAGACACATCATCCGCACCATCACCTTCTTCATGCGCTCCCACCACATCGTCAGGAATAGGGAAACCCTCTTCAGTAGCCGGTTTATCCAACAAAGGAAACTGATACGTACCAATCAACACATGACGCTGCGTTTGATACAGATCTTTAGCCTCCTGCCAAGGACCACCCAAATCCAATGAAAGAGTATAAGCGCTGCCATACTTTTGTCGAAGGTGACGCCGATCTTTACCTGCAGCCCGAACGCAGACCTCACAGTCTTTACGGAAAGGTATGTGACCCCTCAAGCAATGATCTCGATACTCAGATTCCTCAGCTGTGAGTTTGGCCAGGTGTACCGCCCTCTCCTCAGAAACAGCTTGATGCTCCACGAAAGATGAGTGTGCCAACCACGCCCGCAAACATCGCTTGATCCGCGTTGTAAGCCCCGGAGCCCACAAGGCCCACGACCTAGACATAGCCAACCGTTGACTAGCCTCCTCGGGTACTGACACCACCCATGGGACGCGCACATGAACCTGCTCTAGAGACTCCCACAACTGAAAATCGGAAGTAAGAACCGTCGTTGGCTTGACCATATAATGACCCAAAGCACCCTGATCACAATGTGCTGCAAGAAGGTTGTACCGAGTCCTGAAAGATCGCACCTCTGGCCATGCGAAAAATGTTGGAGAAGCTAGGCTGGGTTGACCTTCTTCTGCAACATCTTCCCTGCACATAACTGAACAACCAATCTGAGAAAACTTTTGCCCCACCAATTCTGGATCTTGCGGACTCTCCAATGCGAAAAACACACCAGCATGTACCGAAGAGGATTGCTCCAATGACAAAGCTTTTCGTGCCTGAACAGCTGTCTCAAACAGGAATAGCACCTTCAAAAACAGTAGGCCGTCTTTCTTAGCCAGTTCCTCACTTGAATAGCTGAGCCCATCCTTCCAGAAACGCCCCTCATCACACCTCCCTCGTAGCACTGGTGGTCCACCGTCCTCAACACCCCTGAACTGAGCCACAGTCTCACATGGCGGGCCACCTACCACTGCAACGACCTTGCCCTCAATTGCCAGCGAGAGGATGTACGTCCACACGGAAGAAGAATGAAGGTCAGTACGAAAATCCACTTCTAGAACTTCGCCACAACTACTTGGTAAGTGCAATCGCGGACCGCCTGAGTGCAGATGAACGATGACGCGTCTGGTTTTCTTTAATCGCCGTCTTTTGTGACGATTGTAAAGCAACTCCCCCACTCCCGAGGCAGGAAGAAGATCCACAAGCATCGATTCCGGGACATCAGGATAGTACCAACGCAACCAACGCCAGCATGCCTGAATAAAGTCATCTTGATTTCCACTACGCATAGCACCATGAAGACACTCACGTACTGAATGTTCCGTGTCTGCAGATGGACACCCTTGAAGCGCACGTACAGACTGCAACATGTGAGCAACCCCCTTTTGCTCCATTTCATCAATGATTCGTAGAGCAACCGCCTCAGCAATGCAAGGGCAACCATTGACCGTCTCAACTTCCAGAGGGCCCAGTATTGGATGCGTAGCCGTACACTTTCCTTTGCGCCAACGAACCTGAAGACCAACCAATTCGCTAGCCTTGCCAATCGGAACCAAAGGATCCACCCGCTCGCTTGTAACTAGAGTACCACCATCCGTGAGCATCATTTCCTTCTTGCCCAAAGCCAAAGCCACAGTCACCCTTTTTGTTGGTAACGGCTCCCCCGGACGCAAGGATCTCAAAGGATGCGAAGCCCCAGAATCAAGCAAACCCACACCTTGTGTACGGTCATGGACCCCATCCACCCGAGCAACATTGAGAAAACCAGATACCACGTCCTCTTCAGATCCAGCGATAGCCTTAGAAGCAGCAGTTCCTTGCAGAAGGTCGTCAATTGAAGACCCTGACCCCCCCCTAGCTGCTGCATCCCCCAACGCCGTTTCCAAGTCCGCAATCATGTCTAAAGCCACCTGGCGATCGATCACAATGCGGCCATCAAGGACTTGGGCTTTCAAGTCACCCTTCTGAGGATGTACAACCGTGCACCGACCGTCAATCACATCAAAGTCCACATGAAGATGCGAATGAGCAAGATGAAAAGGAACTACAGGGCAAACAGTTTCACGAGTAACCAATGTTCCCACCGAATTGATAAGCATGTGCGCGCAACCAGTGGCCAATGCAACTTCAACAGAATCTGTTGGGACAGGTTCGCCTGCCCTCAGCGTCCGAATAGCATGAGAAGCGCAGGTATCCAACAACCCCAAATTCTGCCCCACAATGGCCTCATCCACCACAAGCTTTTTGGCTGAAACACCCCCGCTGTTTGCCCCAGACCCTTGCGACAACTTAAGCGACTTCAAGATGTCCAAAGCCTCTGCCATCACGCGTGAATTGTCAGATGCCGTCGAAGAAGAAGCAACATTACCCGCACCAGAACTACCAGTATGTATTGAAGCCTCCTCCGTTGCCGTAGCTGACTTAGCCGTGGCCTTCGCCTTCGCTTTTGCCTTTGCCGTTACCAGTTTATCCATTTGCTCTTTTGTAATCGGAGAATGCGAAAACTTGCACCGATCCCCAAACTGGCAAGACTTGTCCAAATGAAAGCCCCAACATGGAGACTTGCCCCCTGGTCCTGACTCAGATTCCCTCGACTTGCCTTTCCCCTTTCCAGGTTGATCCTGTGCTCCCGCTCCTGACGGCTCAGATGTTGTGGATGTTGATGTTGTAGCTGTCGTGGCGGCGCGAGCGGCTGCTTTCGCCTCAGCCCTCGCCTGAGCCTTTGCAAGCTTAGCCTTCTTTTTTGCATCACCATCATCATCACCAGTACTGTGTAGCAAGAGTTCCAATTCAGCTTGAAGAAAGATGGCTAACTCCCCAACCGTCAAGGATGTTGGTGAATAGTCTAGCCCTTTCCGCTCCCGAAAAGTCGCCACCCGAAATAAAACCGTTGGATGTTTCGAAAGCACTGCAGAAACCATTGTGTCAAGACCTTTCACTAAAAGTGTAGCATCCGGTTCAGCTGCATGTAGTTCTTTCAATCGCGACCTCCATTGCACCCACTGTCTGACTCCCTTGATCGCCTCCTGCACTGAAGTAGCCGAGGTAGGTGACACCAGATAATGCAACATTGTGCCTCTCTCATGGGCGCCGCCCGGTTGGTATACCGTAAGGAGTTTGAAGAGAATCTGGGAAGGGGACATCCGTCTTGTGGCTACAATATCTGTCTTTACAACTTCAGGAATCGCCTGGAGCAAGAGAATTGAAGCCCGTTGTTCCAATAAGATGTGCTGTGGCATGTGCGTACCATACATCTCTAACTCCGCCTGGATGCCAAGCCGCTCTAATGGTGACACCGAGAGCCACTTAGTGTACGCGCGCGAAGCTCGATCAAAGGTGTAGTCCCACCACACATGGCCCGAATCTGTCAAACTAGAAAGTGTAGGCTTGACAATCGCCAACCAATCACCCAAAGCTGTAGGATTTGATGCGCTGTATTCCGATAGAGTTGGCAACGACATGACATGTTTGCCCAGCACCTCTGGACGCTCCACGGTATGCCCCATCCCACTCGCCACCTGCGGAATAGAAGACGACGGACCTGGATGAGGAGAAGCAGCAGGAGTTAAAGCCACAGGAGAAATATCCAAAGTACCGTTGATCACCCGCCACTTGTAAGGAATCCCAGAAATCATGGTGACCCCAGCCGCTGCTTCACTGGATGTGTGATCCCGAGACACCGAAGTTGCAGGAGCAGGACGTCCGGGTGATTGACCAAAGGTTGGAGCATTGTCCGCAACCGAACCCCTAGCACCACTCCCACCCGAACCCCGAGAATCCTGAAAAGGGAAAAACGGCTGTACAGGATGCTTTTGGTTGGCACTACCACTCAGACTACCAACTACTTGCCCCAACGATTGCGACCCGGGGCCCTCAAAGACCTCTGGCCCGATTGAAGAGCTGGCGTTCCTGTGTGGCACATCCACCCTCGCTGCTGACGGTATCGCGCCACTCAGGATCCCCTGCCCCTCCACCGAGCTAGAGATCTTTGGTGGCACCATCAAACCAGGAGTAGATGCACCCACGACTTCATGAGCAGCTAGCGCGCGATCCCTTGCAAAGCTCCCCTCCTCTAACTCCGCCATGTTAAAGATCACCGCTCCAACTGGAATTCGATTCTCATCAACCCACTCCCACTCACCAGCGGCTGTGAAATTCCAAATGGTTCCCAATGCATCCCGATAATACTCCTTTCCTTCAAGAATAACCGCACTAGATTCCAAAGGTCTTTGCACATCCACGTCTGATGGAATGCTTGTCGTCGGAGCCTGCAAACCTGGAGGATGCTGTGGAACAAACTTGCCCAGCGACACTGTCTCTACAGACTTTCCAGAATGTATCGAGCCAAAACTTCTCTCTTCTACTCTCTGCATTCTCTCTGATAGTTGCGCTTGGAATTGCGCTTGGCTTTCCATCATAGTTTGCAACAGAGTTTCCAAGCGGCTCAAGCGTCCCAGTTCCGGTTGGTCTGGAATCAACTCTTCTTCTGTTTTATCTGGTTTAATCGTAGTTGATGAAGAAGGCGTGGCGGCTGGAAGACCGTCCACCGGCTGAACTTCCCTACTCCCGCGATCCAGGGCTGACGAAGGCAACGGTTGTGGAACTGTTGGGCGCCTAACGGGACCATAACTAACTGGATTACCTACTGGAACCGTTACCCCCGCATGCCCAGCAACGCTTGAGTCTTCCAAGGGTGGTAAAGTTGCAGGTCTCATCTGCCGAAGTTGGGATTCTGTCCGCGCTCGCTCACTCCAAAATGCATGTGGTGTGCTTACAGACTGCATCTCATGACTGCGAGCCACTGCGCTTGACTGCATCTCTTGATTGCGAGCAGTCACGCCTGACTGCATCTCATGACTGCGAGCGGTCACGCTTGACTGCATCTCATGACTGCGAGCGGTCACGCTTGACTGCATCTCATGACTGCGGGCCACTTCACGACCATATAACAAAGCAGGAGCAGGCCCAGCAGAACGCGAACGACGCATAACAGGATCCATGGCTTAGCACAGGGGGAACCGCGTTTGGGCTCCTAACCTACGGGGTAAAATCCGCCCTGAACCACACCAGAAAAGCCCTGACCCTGAAGCCCCGAAGCCGAAAACACCCTCAAACCCGGCCGGAAAACAATCCCAATCCCTACAACCACACAACCTCCCTGAAATAAGGACTAGGGTGACCCCAAAGAGGTGGGGAAACCACTCAAGCACAAACAAAAACTTTTAAACCTTGAGCCACGTGTCACGTTGGTACACTTCTCGATGTACCTTAGTGTGTCATCCTTGCGCAGGGCGAGACAATGCCATGCGACCTGATTTGTGCGTGTCTTCTTACGCAGGGGCTTTGCTTGCAAGGCCCTTTGCCTCGCACCTGAAACCGGAATCCCCTTAAAAGAACCCTATACAGTACCCTTTAAAGGACCCCCTAAGAACCCCAAAAACCCAACCCTGAAACCGGAAACCCCTTAAAAGAACCCTATATAGTACCCTTTAAAGGACCCCCTAAGAACCCCAAAAACCCAACCCTGAAACCGGAAACCCCTTAAAAGAACCCTATATAGTACCCTCTAAAGGACCCCCTAAGAACCCCAAAAACCCAACCCTGAAACCGGAAACCCCTTAAAAGAACCCTATATAGTACCCTCTAAAGGACCCCCTAAGAACCCCAAAAGCCAAACCCTAAAAACCCGAAACCCTGTAGCACTTGGAGGCCCTTTTGACTTAGTAACTAGGATTAGTAAGCTGGGTCATGGGGAATATAGTAGGGTTTCTAGGGGATACTAAGTAGACTTACTAAGTCAAAAGGGCCTCCAAGTAAACCTAATCCCCTTAAAGGAACCCTAACCTACTTACTAAGTCAAAAGGGCCTCCAAGCAGACGACAGGAGGCAGACCCGGACCGGTCGGCGAGGTGGCGTCGCACGGCTTGCCGAAGGCCGTCTTAGTGTTTACAGGGGTTTAGGGTTTAGGGTGCAGGGCCGAGGATTTAGGGTCTAGGGCTCAGGTATTATAGGATTTGTAGCCTTTTTGCTGGGTTTGATAACTACAGTTTACGGCCGGCCTGTTTACAGGGGTTTAGGTATTCGGGTTCAGGGTTTAGGGTCTAGGTACTATAATAGGGTTCGAAGATCCTTTGGTGATTCCTTCTATTCTTTCCTCTTAGGGTTTTTGATTCCTGCTAGCCTACAGTAGAAGCCCAAAAGTTGGAAGCCCTGTAGCCTCAATCCTTAAGATTAATGTATAGCATTATTTGGCCTTAATCCGGTTTCCAACTTTTTGGGGTTTACTGTATGCATTAGGGTTCAGGGTTTAGGGTCTAGGGTTTATAGGTATTATAATAGGGTTTGTCGTTTTTTTTCTTTGGGGCTTATAGGGTTTAAGGTATACGGCCTGAGGCTCTATGGGGGCTGGGGCCTTAGGGTTTGTAGGGTTTAGGGTTTAGGGTTTGTAGGGCTCAGGGCCTTCAGGTTTAGGGATAGGGGTTTAGGTCTTATAAGGGTTTCGGATTGATAGTTTTGGGTTCAGTGTAGGGAGTGGGGCCCTAGGGTTCTACATCAGACTACGTTTGAGAGGATTTCAAGGAAAAAACTCAATAAGTTTCTGCAGGGATCCCCTCAAAGCCCAAACCCTCCCCAAGAAAACCCATGACCCCAGATCCTAAACCCTAAACTCTAACCCCAAGAAAACCCATGACCCCAAACCCTAAATCCTAAACCCAACCCCAAGAAAGCCCATGACACCGTTTGAAGGCCTTAAGGTAAGCCACGGGACTGGAATGGACTGGAAACGATGTCTCATGTTTTCTTTGAACACGCCGACTCTTTTTTCTGAACCCTGAGGGTTTAGGGTGTCTAGGGCTAAGGGCTTTTTTTTTCAGGTTCAAAGGATTTACGGGGTTTAGGGTCAAACCCTGAACCCGAAACCCTAAACCCCCAAACGCACATTCCACAGCCCCAGGGGGAGTGGCTTGTGAAGGGCTCCTCCTACTCTCAGGCTCAGGGGACTTAGTAAGTGGGCTTATTAAGGTAACTACACCCATAATATGGGTGTAGTTCCTTAAAGGGATCTATAGGGTTTAGGGTTTAGGGTCTACTTAAAGGATCATGGGACTTAGTAAGTGGCTTATAATTAAGGTAACTACACCTATATTTACTTATAGCCCCAATTGAGGTACTTATAACTGTACTTATTAAGTCTTATGAACCTCCAAGTAGCTGCAGCGGTTGCGTGGATCCAAAAGCCCGGAACCCAAAAGACTCAGAGGAGTTTGGGCCGCGGTTTATAAATTTCGGAGGATCAGAGTTTAGGGGTTTACTAAAAGGATCATGGGACTTAGTAGGTGGGGTTACAAATAAGGTAACTATACTTATAAGTACTTCTAACCCAACTAAGGGACTTATATTTAGGGGTTTAGGGTTTAGGGTCGGTTTAACCCTAAAGATCAAAATAGCCCAAAAGCCTTATACACCTGAAGCCTACCGCTAATTCACATGGACCCGGCCCAGCAACAGGTCCTTAACGCTAACTCCCAAGCTCCAGACCCTACTCATCCCCAATCATTCATCTCTAGGCCCTCAATTACAAAACCCTCAAACCCTTAAATCCAAAACCCTCAAACCCTGCACACTAAACCCTCGAACCCTGACCCCAGCAAACCCTACACCCTGAACCCATCAGGTGAGGCACAGCGTGTGGTGGTCACTGGAATGGGCGTCGTTAGCCCGTATGGCACGGACAAGGAGGCCCCTCCTCGCCACCAAGAGAGCCCGATACCCCTTAATTAAGGAATATGGCTTAAATTATAAGGGGCCTCCTATTAGGATTTAAGCTATATTCCTTAATTAAGGGGCATTGGGCTCCCTCGCTACCGTTGCTACCAAGCTCAGGGTTCTGGGCTCAGGGTTTAGATTTGGGAGTTTGCGAAAATTAGGGGTGCATAATTTGGGCTCCGAATAATAGGGATCCTACTAAACTAAAGTACCCTATTAGGGTCCCCTGTTTTCGGAAACTCCCATTTTAGTTCAGATACAGCTTAAGTTGCAGGGTTTAGGTCTTGGGTCTAGTGTTGGGTCTAGGGAGTACTTTAAGGCCTCAGGGGACTTAGTGGGTAGAGTGATAGTTGGGGTCATAAGTGCCCCCCTAAGTGGGATTATCCTTCTTATAAGCTTATACCCTTTCTTACTAAGTCAGCTGGGGTTTAGACAAATATCTCCCGATTCAAGATGATCATGCACCGAATCAGAAATTCAGGTGTGCTAGAAGGCTTACGGATGCTTTCGCAAGGGATTTCTGGGCTCGTTGTCTCGCGTACGATTTAGGGATTCTGCGGGGGTGTGGACAGTTATTATAAATACTCAACCCTATACCCTTAACATGAAAAGGCTTAGGCGTAAACCTTAGACCCCCTTTTAAGAAAGCTGTAGGCTCAACGGTTGTGCTTGTGAGAGGACCCCTAAGACAGAATAGACAGATGGAAAAAGGTACGACTCCTGTTAGACTGTTAGAGGCTATATACGGGCTGGGTGAAGTCATCAGTAGTATTCCCTGTGCCCTCATACCACTGTTGTAACATGCCCCAAAATACCGCAGTTGCGTTGATTATTATTTAGGGTACAGGGTCGTGTCTATGTCAGTCTCTGTTCCGAGAAACGATACCCGAAAGCGCTGCAACCTTCCTCCGTAAACCTTGGACCTATATCCGTGAACCTTTGATTCTGAAGCCTGAACTTTGGGCCCCTAAATAAAGCCCAGCAAATTCTCTTCAGGGAATGAAGCTGTGCATTCGACTCACAACCCTCCGCATCAGAAACCTCCCAGGAACCCATCAGCTAGGAAACCGAATCAGCGATACAAAGCACTACAAGGCACAACGAAATATAAATCCCTGTAGCGCCCTGTAAAGGAGCCAGTAAAAGGAAAGCGCCCTGAAAATGCAGGAAGCCCTTAAAGAGCCCTTAACAGGAACTTTTGAAATTTGAAGGAATCCCTTAAAGGAACCCTTCAAGGAAGCCTTTAAGGGACCGCTTAAAGGAACCCTTAGAGGGAAGAGCTGTTAAAGGAACCCTTAAGAGGAGCCCTGTATGTCAAATGGAGCACGGGCTTTGCCAGGTCTTCTATGACAGCCTCCTCGAAGGAAAGTCGGTCCTCGACCCAGAGTTTTAAGGGGTTTCCTTTAAAGGAGCCCTGAAAGGGAGCCCTTAAAGGAGCCCTTCAAGGGAACTCTAAAGGGAACCCTTAGGGAGCCCTGAAAGGAGCCCTCCTGGGTTCCTCTTCGGAGGTTCCTGTCAGAGTCTCCCTTTAAGTGCTCCTTTGAGGGTTCCTTTTAGGGGTGCAGGGCTTAGGGTCACTAAACCCTAAACCCTAAACCCCAAAACC